TCATTATGTTGTCCAGCCTGGTCTTGAATACATGGGCTCAAGTGATTCTCCTGCCTCAGCCTCCTGAGTGGCTAGGACTACAGGCACACCACCACTGCCTGCTCTTCATGTTTTTGTTCTTTTCAGATCCTCAATAAATTGGAAGATGCCCTCCCACTTTAGGGAGGATGATCTGCTTTACTGAGGCCATGGAGCCAAGTTCTGGGGTTATCCAGAAATACCTTCACCGATGTGCCTAGTTTAATTTGAACACCCCACAACGCAACCAAACTGACACTTAAAATTAACTGAAAAAGCAGACTAGTAGAGAGGAGTAGAAGCCAGAAGAAGAGGCCTTAGGGGTGGGAGGAAAAAGGGTGGGAGTGGAATGTATGCAAAAGAACAAGCCCTATTGTTTTGAGGAAACTAAAGTAATTGCCTTCTTTGTGATAAAAGGTGAGAAACTGCTAAAAGATGAGATTTATTTTGACTTTGTTTTTCATTGCAGGATGGGGATTCTATCCTGTTCTCCACCTACCTGTCATGTCTTGAGTGATGTGACCAAAAATGATTATGCAGGTGATATGCTCTAGGAAAGGCTCGGCTGCTTCATATATACTATCTTAGTTACTTTTCTTGTTGCTGGGACAAAACACCTGACACCCATAGGTTGAAGGAGGAGAGGTTTATTTTGGCTCAGTCTGTAGAAGTTTCAGTCCATAGTTGGCTGGCTCCAAGGCAGAGTGGCATGGGAGAGGAGAAACAGTCCATGGTGTGGCAGGCAAAAGGCAGCAAGAGATCAAGGGAGGAAGAGGGACTCTTCCTCCCTTGATATATCTATAGAGCTATACCTATAGATCTATATCTCTATCTATCTCTGTCTATCTATCTATCTATCTATCTATCTATCTATCTATCTATCTATCTATCTATCTATCTATCTATCTATCTATAGATATACATCTATATGTATCTTTCCAGGCCATGCCCACAGTGAATCACCTTTTCCCAGTAATCAACATCACACCCAGCTATAAATCCATCAGTAGACTGAACCAGTATCACACACCCATGATCCAGTCACTTCCTAAAAGTTGCATCTATAAGCACGTGAGGCTTTGGGGGGCCATCTAGATATGAACCATAGTACATACCTACTGGCTGATGTACTTTACATTTTCACCTCTATAATGTATAGTAGTATAATAATTAACATCTCATCAGGTCCAGGAGCTAAAACCAAATGGTCTCACTTTAAAAATCAACACACACACACACACACACACACACCAAAGAGAAAGTAAATGGGCACCTTCATTAGCTAAGTAGTGAATTTTTCCATCTCTTGATATCAGAATATATGTAGAGAGGCAATGCTACTATGATGAGGCTATTTGTAAACTATCTCCCCCACCCTGCCCTGGCCCTGTCAGTGTGCATGGAGAGGGCTAGCTCTTTTCCTTCAAATCAAAACCTGCCCAGTTGAAGGCACCCAAAGGCAACTTCCAGGTTCAGGCTACAGGAAATGCTTATGAGGATACAGGAGCCCAGCATACTTACCAGCCAGGCAATCTTGCTCCAGGCTGCTCTGCCTCATGTGTGAACCATACGTCTACCTGGTGCTCATGATAGGAGCTGCTTTTCTGTCCAGTTGTTCTGCTCCAGAATGTCTGACTGGTTTCCTTACCTGCTGGTCCATTTCTCTGACAAGGGCCCCCCTGAGGTCTTCTTGCTCTTTCTTCTCAGGGCCTAGGGACCTGTCTCTAAATCGTAACCCTCTGGTTTTAACTCTTGGTTGTTAGATCTTGTTGAAAAGATGAGGATCATGGATGGTGGAAGATATTTAGCCCCTGAATAATATCTTGAATAATGATATTCAAAGATGTCCATACCCTGATACCTAGTGAATGCATAGTGTCTTAGTTACTTTTCTCATTGCTGAGACAAAATATCCAATGCCCAAAGTTAAAGAAGAAATTTTATCTCGGCTTGCACTTGGGAGAGGTTTCAGTGCCTAGTCAGCTGGCTCCAAGGCAGGGCTGTATGGCAGAGGGTCATTGAGTAGAAACAGTCCATGGTAGGGTAGGGAGGAGGCAGCAGCAGCAAGTAGCTTTCTTTTTCTTCTTTTTCTTCTATCCAGGCTACCTGCCTTTTGGGAGGTGCCACCTACACCCAGGGTGGGTCTTCCCAATCAGTGGGCAAATTTAGTACCACACACCCTTAATCCCAGTATCCCCTGATAGAACTAGCTATCTTTTAAAAGCCCCACCTTTAAGTGCTTGAGGTTTTGGGGGGACATCTAGGTACAAGCCATAGACGCAGATTGGAATTCATGGCAAAGAGGACTTTTTAGATATAATTAAGATTACAGAGGAAATGATAATGAGACATCAAATGGGCCCAACTGGATAACACAGCCTTGAAAAGCAGACATCAGAGAGATGCAAAGAAGGAGGAAGGAGAGATGCAGCAGGAGACGATGCCAGAGAGATTCTGTGTATCAGAAGGACTTGATGCACTTTGCTGGTTCTGAGAGGTAGGTCCCACGTGCATGAACTCAAGCAAGGTCTCAAAGAGCTCAAGGCAGTTCTGTCTTCCAGCCAGAGACATCTGGCCTGGAACTTCAGGGAGCCACATTTATTTGTCCAATAACCTGAGTGGGTCTGGAATTGAATTCTTCCTCAGAGCCAGTAAAGAAGGTGGCCTGCCACCTTCACCCTGATTTTAGTCCAGTGAGACCCATGTTGGACTTAGGACTTTCAGAAACTGTGAGGTAATAAATTCGTTATTTTAATTTGTGTTCAGAGTAATTTGTCACAATAAAAACATGTGATACTTAAATAATACAAACATCATCACAATGGAAGCCAAAAGTGCACAAAAAAGCTGTTGAACTCTTGCTTTTACAGCTTCAATTATCACCAACAACCAAAACTAAGATGCCTGTTAATCAAATGCCTGCTTGTCTAGGTTTATCCCTCCTGTCCCACATTACTCAACATTTCTTCTGATGTCTCATGTTTTTCTAACCCCATAACTTCTTATTGCTGGAGATGTGTAGAGGTTATGATGAAGTGAGCAGCATGCAATTGTAGCTACTATTTCGTCTTGCTTATTTTGCCCTGTTGGCTTTACAAACATCACTGCCTGTGCTACCTATGATGATCATGCTAGGCAAGGGGGCTGAAAGGGTTCATGCAGTGTTCTTGCTCTTGTATCCCAACAGCTGAGGCAAAGCAAGGAGTCAAAGGCCCAGGAGTCCAGAAGTGGGTGAGATAGGACTAGGGAAGTGGTTGTAGCAGGGCCATGCAGGATGGACAGCCCTGCCAGTGCTCTCTGCGCTGCTGATGTGTCTGCTGGAGAAGATCTGAGACTATTCCTGGTGAGAGTCCATGCAGGTTCCAAATTTGTGTTCCAGTCTCTTCACCCTTTATTTTCTGAGAAATAGGCTTGGTCCTATTGCTCCTGGTCTGCACTCTCACATAAGTAGTTTTAAAGACCTAGAAATCTTATTGGTGTTTTTTAGTTGGTAGGTTTACATAAAACTTGCCATTTCCCCATTATCTTGAGAACTGAGAGTAGCATCTACACATTTTCTTCTATAGCTGGATCTACAGGATGCCAAGAGACAAGCTGGAGAAAGGAATAGGCACCAAGAAAGGAAGACAGGCTGCAGGGACTGGCAGAGGTGTCATGCTTCATGGCCCCATTTGTTTCTGGAGTCAAGGAAAGGAGGAAACAGTGAGGATTTCTCTAGCTTGGTGCTCTGTGATGTGTATGGGGCCAATTTGAGTTCTAGATATGGTTAGATGGCTTCTGTGAAGCATGGCTTACGTCCGTCCCATCATGCTCTATGCCATTCCATTCTTATTGGGCCTCCCTCATCCAGAAGCTGCTCAAAGCCCCCAGAAGGCCTGCAACTCCCTGGGAGAAGCTCAGCGTGGTTTCAGCTCCCCATGAGCAAGGTCTCCATTACCTGTCACCACTGCCAGCACCATTGTCCTCTTCCTCCTCATCATTAGCTTTTGAGTACCATTGTAAGTAGTTTACGTATATTATTTGGTTTAGTCCTCACAATAACCTTACTTATTTCCACGTTAAGCACCCCCTGTTTTTTGAGGTGGGAGTCTCACTATGTTGCCCTGGTCTTTAACTCCTGGGCTCAAGTGATCTTCCCACCTCAGTCTCCTGAATAGCTGGGACTTACAGACTTGTGCCATCATGCCTGGATCATGATTTCCACATTAGAGGAAAGGAAACCAGATGTAAAGAGTTCAAGTAACGTCCTCATCTTTACAAAATTAGCAAGTGATGGTGCTGAGATTTGAACCCACTCAGCATAACACAGAACCCTCTCCTCTACCATCCTTACTGCTTCTCTTTGGTTTAGAGATTTCACATCCAGTGCGTTTGTCAGGAAGTTGTGAAAAGGACATACTCTTTTGTCTTGGTTGAATGACAGTGTGGGGATCCTACATTGTGTCCATGAAATTTACTTCTAATGTAGGTCTAAATTAAATATTTCACTTGCCAGTGGCTTTGGAGATGTGTGACATGATTGTTTTCATCAGAAATTGTTTAAGCCCCTTGCTTGAGGTCTTAGAAGCCCTCATGATCTTGCCTTCAATGCAACTCATAGAAGAGAGCACATAGACAAGTTCAATAAAAAGTTAAAATACTTGCTAGAAGGGAAGCATCAAAGCCTAGCTAGATTTGTGAGACCTAAAACCACAAGATGTACTTTGCCCACCTGCTTGTGATAAGTGTTCAGCCATCCCCTGGCAACAGCTACCCCAATGTCCCAGGTGTAACTGTTTGCAGCTTGGGTGCGCAAGGCACAACCAATCAGGTTTAATTGCCAATCTAGAACCTTGCTGTAACTACTATAAAAACCCCTGCTGAGTTGGAGTCAGGGCTCTCAATCTTGACCCGCTGGGGCGGTGACGGTTGGGAGTCCCTGCTCGAGCTCGAATAAATGACCCTCGTGTATTTACATCAGAATCGGCTCCTTGGTGGTCTTTGGGGACCTCGAAATCTGGGCACAACAGATTCTTGATGTTATTACTTGGACCTCATATAAATCATTTTGAATTTCTTGTTGGGCGCCAAGATATTCATCATTATGTCCAAGGTAAGGAATCAGGCACTTCAGGGAAGGGGAGAAGAGTTTGCTCATAGTCAAAGTGAGAGTAGAGATAGGAGGGTGGGAGCCTCATATCTGGAATTATTAGGGTCTTGAAGGCTTCAGATCTCATTTTCTTCCTTTTTTTTTTTTTTTTTTGGTACCAGGGATCAAACTTGTGTCCTTGTGCTTGAGGGGCAGGCGGAGGAACGACTGACCTAAATCCCTGGCCCCTAGATCTCATTTTCTTAATTAACAAACTCTGTGTAGAAACCTGCCCCTAGGTCAGGAAAGTACCCTGTGATGAAAAGTGGGAAGCCCTTTCACTGAATTGTATTCTTTGACATGTTTCTGGTTGTTTCAACTCCAAAGCCTGAAAGGGGAAGTTGGTTTTGTTCTGACAGAATTGCTGAATACCTGGGTGTTGGTTTCCTGTCAAGCTTTGGTCAGTGAGGAAGGAACAGTTGGCAGTGATGTGTTGGCCATCAGCACACTGACTCCACACTGGCATGTTCAGAGAACCCTCTGCACTTCTGAACCTGGGTCTGTTCTCAACTGGCGTGGCCTCTCTCGTCAGAGAGCTCAGTGAGGATTCTATTTGGACCATCGCTCTCCCCACTGTTCAGGTAAGAAACCTTGTGTCATCACCATTTCAACACCCAGCCTCCCCTATATCACCCAGATGTCTCAAATCCCTTGTGTTTTCTTATTTCTGCATGGCCAGCAAGACCCTGCCCGATGAAGTCCCCATCTCCCTTTCTAATTTAATCTTGTTCCACTCTACTCTTTATCTAGTTACTTGGGCTGCTCTGCCTTCTTTATATTCCTTAAAGCTTTCAGCACTTCCCATATCTGGCCTTCTGACACACTGTTCTCTTTCTTGGGATACTTTTCCTCCCTAGTCTGGCTCATGGTTTCAGGTGTTTCAGTCCATGTATGATTGACTTCAAGGCAGAAACATCATTGCAGAAGGGCCTGGTGGGGGAAAGCTGCCCACCTTATGGCACTCAGGAAGCAGAGAGTCAGTGAGAGAGCCATGTTTATACTCCAGGGCTGCCTTATATGCCTCTTCCTGATCGAGGTTTGCCCTGAACTATCCCTTCCTTTCTGCTCTGTTATTGCCCTCTGTTCTTCCCTACCATTTAATATGCACTTTAATTACATATATATGTATATGCATGTATATATATTCTGTTCTCCTTCTTCTGGGTTCCATATCCATGGATTCAACCAACTGTGCATCAAAATACTTGATAATATGTTGTATCTGTACAGATTTTTTCTTGTCATTATTCTCTAAATAATGCATATGACAACTATTTATATAACATTTGGATTGTCTTAGATATTATAAGCAGTTTAGAGATGATTGAAAGTACATACATTCCTCATTTAATGACCAAGTTCCATTCTCCTGACTAGGTCGTTAAATGAATTGGTCACTAAATGAGGAATTGTACATAATATGTACTACAATATTCAGAACAAAGAATGGTCAAAGGAGACTTCAACTTGATGAGTTTGCATTTCATTTGCATAACTCTTACATGCAGTACTATGATGTGTAACAGACCATAAAACTACAGTACTATACAATACAGTATAGTCAGCAAAAATTATAGTACTGCATAAACAAGGTGTACTGTGCAGAAAAAGACATTAAGGCTCTATAAACAAGATGTACAGAACTATACAAAAAAAAACCTGGGTTGTAAATCTGTGCAGTGGTTCATAAATCTGAACAGCACATCTCGGTCTTAAGTCTGAACAGTTGTTCAACAGGTAGGTTGTTAAACAAAGAATTTCTGTATACAGGAGAATGTGGGTTGGTGATTTGCACATACTGTGTTACTTTTTATAAGGGACAAAAGCACCTTTGAATTTTAGTATTTGCAGGATTTCCTGGGACCGCTAGATGCAGCCCCTTGACCTTGGACTTCTTAGACTCCAGAACTGTAAGAAATAAATTTCTCCAAGGCTCCGCCTGTTATGGCTTAGATTTGAAATGTCCCCTCAAACTCATGTGCTGAAGGGTTGTTGCCAGATGATGGGCTTTCTAGAAAGTGACTGGATCACGAGGCACTAGCTTTTCAGTGAAATAATCCACCGGTGAGATTATACTTTGATGGCATTTTTGTTAGGTGACAGCTGAAGGGAATGGATCTTGGACAAAAGACCTTGGGGACTCTGCCCGGTCCCTGGTTCCTTCCTCTTGTGCTCTGGCTCTCTCACTGTTGCTCTGCTTCCTGATTTCCATGAGATGAGCAGCTTTCTGTCACTATGCCCTTCTGGCATGATGTTTCTGCCCTGGAGTCAGTAATCCCTGAACTGAAACACCTGAAACCGTAAGCCAAAATAAGCCTTTCCTCCTTAGGTTTTCTCAGGTATTTGGTCACAGCACTGAGAAGCTTACTAGCACATAGGTATTTTGTTATAACAGCAGAAGATATACAATGATGCACTGTAACTCTGGGACCTAGCAAAATGCATGGCTTAAGGTTTGTGTTTTATAAATATTTATCAGATAAACATTCTTTCCAATGAGATTCTATTTTCTTTTCAGTTTGTTTGACGCTGGTGCCAAGAGTATATGAATATGAAAATAGGCAGGAGATAAAAAGAATACCTACTTTGCTTTTGGAAAGTGTGTTTTTCATTTGGTAGTTTTTCTGTCCCTCTTTTTCTCCATTAATGAGCTTGGAATATGAGGTAGAAGTGGTCTGAAAGCTGTTTACCTTTCAGGCCCTTTAAATAAGGCACAAAAGGAGAAACTTCTGGGAGAGAAGAAAGGGCACTCTGTGGCAGGGCACAGGTTGGGCCCAGACAGGATCCTTCCAGGCTCATTAAGGATAATTTGCTTCCAGCCTTCTGCATGTGAAGAGGGGTTGGCTGACTGGCGTCTGGAGAATTCTGAGGACTCTGAGTTAGGCAAATGAGCAGCCGCCTTAGCTCTTCTTTGCTGAGAAAAATGAGTGGGTCCAGTTGCCAGGGGAAAGAGCTGGCGGCAGAGGCTGTATCTCTGTCCCCCCTGCTCCCTCCTGCTAATTAAGTTCCCCTCTGCCACTCACAAGAAACAAAACCCATCTCACTGACTTCGTCAAATCCCAGACACAAACCGAACTTGGTTGTTAGCTGCTGTCGGAGTAATTCTGTGCCTTGGCTCGCTGAAGGTTGAACTCAGAGTGGGGTATTGGGAACGTGCATTTAAATGTGGAACTCTGCAGTCAAAATGTCCCTCCTATCCCTTAAAGACAAAATAGGCAAATGCTTCTTGGAGAAGGACTCTCCTCCTGCTGTGTTGCAGGGAGTCCTGGGGACACTGGTGCCTGTACCCGCAAATGACTCACCAAATAGGTGCTTTACAGTGTGGCTTTGTCTTTGTGCTAAACAGGGTCAAACTGAACATTTCAGTAACGAGCTACCCATGTGGTTTCTGAGCTGTGAGTGGGGATGGATGATTAGGCAAAATGATGATTTGGGGCTCTCTTGCCCAGGGGGAGATTCTGTCCCTATCAGGACAGGATTAGGTAGTTACAGAGAGGCCTGTGCTTCCTATCTGTGTCATAAGAATGGAGTCAGAATGCCCTGGGCTTTGGGAAGATGTAAGAAGCAAGAAGGAATAGAAGTTATTTTTTAAGGCCCCATGAAGAGCCATAGTTTTAGACATATCATGAAGATTGGCTTAATTTAGTCCTATGATTGTCCTTGATCCTGTGGGCTTGCTTGACCTTGTACCTGCCTGGCAAGGGAGTGAGAGGCAGAGTGGATAGAAAACTGAGTTTCAAGACATCCAGTTCATCAGTGGGAAAGCCACACACTCCCTTCCAAGGTGACCTTGGAGGTTGGAATTCCACTTGCTGGCTTGGTCACAATCTGCATGGGTGGCATAGGCTCTGGCTAGGTGGTGGCACAATTTTGAAGCTATGTGGCAGCTCCAGACAGCCAGGACACCTGGCATTTCTCCTCCCCTAGTTCAGCAGTTCCCAACCAAGTGGCAGCATCAGACCCAGACTGCTGAGCCCACTGCCCCATTCCCGGTTCAGTAGGGCTGGCGTGCACTCCTGTGTGTGTGTGTGTGTGTGTGTCTCGGTTATGTGAGAATTTGCATTTCCAACCAGCTCCCAGGAAATAGCTGTGGCTGGTTAGGGATCTGTCCCTGAGAACCTCTGCTCTAGAAGGAGGTCCAATTCCATAGTCACAGGGGGCCAGGTTTTTCTGGGGAGCATGGAGTTCTTCAGGCTGCTGCCTTCTACTTCCCTTCACTGGGCCTCCTTACTGAAAAGGCTTCCAACTGAGCACAGGGATAATAGCAGATGATTTTCTCCTTCTGATGTTTTATGACTCAATCTGTGCAGCATTTTGCAAAGTGATTTTATTTCTTTCTCTTAAAAAAATAAAAGACGGGTTTCATTGTCCTTGAAAACAGCTCCCTCTTAGCTTTGCTTTTGGTGGCTTTCTGTGGAATAAGGCAGGAATCTTAGGAAGCCTTGCCTCTCATGGGCCTGGCAGCAGAGATGGTGAGCAAGCAGTCACACGTGTCCTCAAAGGTCAAGCCGTGACCCCGGCTGTGCAGTGGCACCACTGTGACTATCCTGATGGCAAGTGTTTAACATCAGCGCCTGGGGAGATGCTAATGAAGGTCGGTGTCAGGGGCAGGGAGGCTCTTGGCAAGTGTGTATTTAATAGATTGATGCAGTAAGGAAAGCAGTGGGAGGTTGCCCAGGCACACATGCACACAAATACACCACCCCCATGTGTATGTGTCTTCAGTTTCTGTGTCTGTAAAGAAACTCTTCTGTAAAGAAAGACCAAAAAGAATAATAAATATTGTGAAATAGGAAGAAATTGTTCAAATCATATAGAATTTGAGATACTTTATCAATACTTAAAATGTTTTATGAATAAAAGGTATAGTATTATTAGGAAATGAGCTGGGAGATAGATTTTCAAAGGAAAATATATTCTTTTAAGATCATGATATCCTGTGTATTTATCATTGTTATTCTCTAATAATTTGTTATGAAATTTTTTTCATAGAACAGCTTTTATATTTTCTTTATTAATATCTACTTGTATTGCATTAAAATAAAAAAATTAAAAACTAAAATAATATATGAAAATATTGAACAAAAACAGAGAAACTCTTCTGTAGCAACATTTTCATGTCCTAGTTCAATAAATTGATGTACTTGGCAGAGGAGTGAAGATCACAGGTTAGGGCACAGGCTCAGTTCTCCTACATTGTTTATAAGAAAGGCGGTATATTAGTTACTTTCTTGTCACTGGAACACCTGAAAATTAAAGGAGGAAAGCTTTATTTTAGCTCCAGTTTGTAGAGATTTCAGTTTGTGGTCAGCTGGCTCCAAAGCAGAGCAGCATGGCAGAAGGCATGCACAGAGGAGAAACAGTCCATGGCAGGGCAGGCAGGAAGCAGCACCAGTGAGCTGAGTTTCTCTTTCCCTCTTTATTACATTCAGGCTACAAGCCTATTGGTTGGTGCCACCCTCTCCTGTGGCATTGGAGCTCTGTCTGGCTTTGTCTAAGGTTGGCCAGATGCTCCACACTGGAAGTCAGCAAGAACTGTCTTTTGTTCTCCTTCTAAAGGGCCAGGATGGACATTTAAGAT